TAAGTTCCTAAAGTGCAGATAGATAATTATATCAGCATACACAATGGTATAATTGATTAAAGTGCAATAGCTTGTCAATGGCTCTAAAGTGCTAGATGAAGTGCGTCATGGAGGACTTAGAGTCAACACTAGATGGTTAAGTCGATTAAAGTGCTAAAGTTCGATAGAGTTAATAGACCATGAAGGTAGTGAGTTAAGGTGCTGATAGAGTAAAGTGCTTGAGTCACACAGGATAATTGTATGCTGTACTTACTAACAGTGCAACGGTTAGTTCTTAATTTCTCCGTTCAAACAATTAAATATAGTTGTTGTTATTACTACAGATTAAAACCCCCCGCCTCTCTTAGATTGCTGTCCCGAAAGATGTATCAGGTGACAAAATGGACAGCACAGTCCTTCTGGAGATAGCGTTGAAGAGGTGCTCCGTACAACCACAATAAGGGTGGTCAGCACAATCAGGGAAGATGGTCAGCACAGTCAAAAATGGTCGGCACAGTCAAAGGAGGTCAACACAGATGAGGATGGTCAGTACAATCAAAAATGGTCAGCACAATCAAAGATGGTCAACCCAATCTGAGAGGATGGTCCACAAAGTCAGAGAAGGTCAACACAGAATGATTAAACGAAGGACAACACAGTCTATCCAAAATTGGAAGCAGTTGGAAGCAACGAGATGCCAAAAGATGGCGATAAACGGGCCACCTCATATAAATATATTGTGGCCTGAGCTGTACCATAGACCTTGCAGGCTGGAGATTATGGGAAATGCAGTCTGAAACATCAGCAGGACACTAGGCTGGGGAAGCGTTCTTTAAATAAACAGATTGATAATGGGAGATCCTCTCCATTATCCAAAAAAACTAAATCTGCAGAAAGTCAGATTGAAATCCCAAACTGCAAGCCAATATACATGAATATACAGAATGAGCTTGTAGACCCGTAAGTATATATAAATATGTGATCACAAATTGACACATAAACATTGCACTGACTCCCAATGAAGTTTATCAAGTTACAAATATTGCCATGAAATCTATTTTGTATGAAGAAAACCTTAAATTGCAGAAGACCCTCCACATTTGCAGGAATTAGTGGTGCAAGATCCACACAAAAGTGGAAATACCACAGATTTAAAAATACTTTAAATAGTTTTTTAACTTTTGGGGACAGCTTTCTAGGAATCTCAAGGTTCTCTAGGACAACTGTATGGTCAACTTCCACTGGATGCTGATAACAGAATTTCACTGGAGGACTTAGAGATTCCCTCTCTCTATAAAACTTGGTCCTTCAGGGTGACTCTTATTTATTTTTTATTATTTCCAGCATTTCTACCCCATCCTTCTCAACCCCTGGAAGGGGGGGGGGGGCTCAGGACAGCTTACACTCGGCAACAATTCAGTGCTGCAACATACAGACAAATACAACAATATAACAACAATTTAAAACAGTAGATAAATCATTGTTAAAAACAATTAAAAACATTTTGTCAACCCATATAGCCATTCCAGTCCTATTCCAACATCCAAAGTTCTGTTATGCCTGCTGTCCAAAAGCCTGGTCCCAGAACCATGATTTCAATTTCTTCCTGATAGACAGGAGGGATGAAGCCGACCTAATCTCACTGGGGAGCGAGTTCCATAGGTGGAGGGCCACCACCAAGAAGGCCCTGCCTCTTGTCCCCGCTAAACGCATTTGCGAAGCTGGTGGGACCAAGACCAGGGCCTTCCCAGATGATTTTAAACTGTGAGGCAGGACATAGAGGGAGATACGTTTGGACAAGTAAGCTTAGTCAACTTCCATTGAAGGTTGACCTTAGCGCAGGCATGTTAGGAATTGTAGTAGCTGAAGTCCAAAACACCTGAAGAGCTGAAGTTTGCCCATGCCTGCAATAGAGTGTCGCTGAAGGTCCGACATGTTCCCAGAAGAAACATACTAAACAAATTTGCAAATAATCAAACCTGCAAAAGTTAAGCCCACAAATGGGGAGGGATTACTGTATTTGTCATGCAGCTGTATTTAGAAATCCATTTCTTTGGTTTTTACCAAGCAGACCGTGAGTTAGACACTCATATCAGACTCTCTTGGTTTCCAATAAGTCATATGCTTACCCTAGAATTATTTTTGAGTGACACTGGGATAATAGGAGTCACAAGCAAAAGCTTATTTTAAGACATCAATTCCATTTATCATCATATACACTAAAATAGCTGCAGAAAGCAACCATTGAACAATTACCATCTAATCATAAAGAAACATTTCTTCAAATGGAATGCATTAAGCCTAAATGTCATTTAAAGCAAAGTACTGCATTTACTTGCTTTATTTTCAGACAAATGGTCTTCTTCATAAATACTTGAGTGTGCTGTAATACTCATCAAGTGTCAAGCTTATACACACCATTACACACATAAATATTGTCATTAAAAGAGGACAGATTCTGGCTGTTATCCTGCTCCTTGAAGCATTTGTGAAACATGTGTGACATATATGAGTCCACTGTAGCTTAGAGTACCTTGGAGTAGTGAAGTATAACCCTGCCTTTGCAAAAGGAGACATGGAGATACAGCTGTAAGGAACCGATCACTAAGTAACCATCTCAAATCCACAAACTTTGAAGGAGCTATCCGAGGTGCTGAACCTGCTTTGCAGTTCTTTTTAATTCATACTGAATGGATTAGGAACTCACAACTTCACTGGCTATCGCGGCTTTTGTCTGTATAAAAGCTGCTATTTTTTGTTTCTAGTGGTATATAAGTACAACACTGGTAATAATGACAAAACATTATCAAAGCAAACACAATTTTAATCGAACTTATGACTGTACATGTATAGTAGTCTGCAGCCCATCACCATTTGTAACTACCACTTTCTTTTGTATTGGGTATAAGACAAATTAGACTGAGAAAAAGAAGTTTGTAGCATAATAATATGTTTTTACACTGAATGCTTCAGCAGATGCTTGGAGTAGAGTTCATACAGACAAGACATTCATGAATGCATGAATGTGCAGGTTGTGTGCATGAATAGTACAGTGTAATTTAATTGATAGTTTTATGTTACTGTTGTTTTATGTTAAGTTTTCATGCTTTGTAAGGCATTGGATTTTGCTGTGAATATGTTGGAAACTGCTTTGAGTCTCCCCAGGTGTGAGAAAAACGGCATATAAATGAAGTAAATAAATAAATAAATATAACCCCTGTACCCCTGCTTTCACATCCTCATCTGACGAAATATGACTTCTCTAGAAGTCCTTGTATATTTTTAGAGCCACTTTCATAGTTATATCTTATATTTTATATCTCATATTTAAATAGGATTTACTGCTTTTGTATTTTATGAGGCCTGGTCATCCATCTTCCCTGTGGGGGTCTATTTTATTCCTGCTTTTAATTCACTATTTATTTATTGTTATTTATAGAGTGTTGTGTTTTTATGGTTAAGTATGTGGCACTGAATGTTTGCCTTTTGCTCTGGAAACCACCCTGAATCCCTTTGGGTTAGAAATAAAGTATTATTATTATTATTATTATTATTATTATTATTATTATTATTATTATTGACACAAAAAGCACAGTATGTCACAGCAAACGAGTTCTATATGCTGGATTTTGTATCAAAAAATCACAAGTCGAACACTTCCCAAGCGTCTAGAACTGTGTGATCTATTTTCTAATGATGCGCACAGATCCAAGTATTATTATTATTATTATTATTATTATTATTAGTAGTAGTAGTAGTAGTAGTAGTAGTGTTCTGGAGCCTTCAGGTGATTCTGTGGCATGCTTTCATTGGATGTTACCATAAAGTCACTTTGGAGGACATAGCAAATTCCTACAGAAGAATTCCTACAGAATATTTTCCCTGTTGATTCTAATGGTAACATCCAGTGAAAACAGTTCATTTAAATAGAGTTTGCTGTTATCCATGATTGCCTGTTTCCACTTATTCAGGAACATAGTCCCCTGTGATATATGAGCCATACTGTAATAGAAATTTAAAAACAGTGGGTATGATGATTGGGTAACAAGCTCAGTTTTGCAATACACAAATACGAGGTGCAGAACACTTCGGTTTTCCTGTACGTTCCATGTGGGACCTCAGAACAGCAATCCTTGAACAAAAAAAGTCAAGGAGGCACTGGAACGAGATACAGCAGAGTTGGTATGTATACACAAACTCCAGTCCATCAATAGTGCATTGAATAGGGGCAGTGGTTTCCTGCCCTACTACATATACTAGAACATCAGTTAATACTCCAGCTTCGTGAGGGCTGTTTTGCTCATTTTATTGCATCTCCTTTATGGTTCTTTGCCAGCACCATGCTATGTTCCAAGAACTCTCACCATCATTCCTTCCTCCCATCCCTTTCCCCCAAACTCAATACCATACTTAGATTATTGAGAGTGATGGAAACACATATACAAGCTGCTCATGCATGGATATAATTGTCTCTCCATAGCATTCCTTGTTCCACATTGTCTCAGAGGTGCTACAAAATCTCTATGCACACTGATCCAAACTAACTTAGCTATGTCTTTAAATTCCAAGTCAAATTATGTAATCTCTATGTCACCATCCTCCTTTATATAACACACTATCTCTTTGAGGGTACATCCAGACTGCTCAAAAAAGCCAGACAGTCTGAAGGTTTGTTCCTATACCAGCTCCCCAGATTGGTTTGCTATATAGGCTCAAAGCAGGAATAAAATCAGAGGCTTTTCAATCAGTTTGGATCTTGCCTATATCATTCCAACAAAATTTTCCACTCTTTTTATCTCTCTTTTATTCATCCAATCACCACTCTTAAGCAAATTCACTTAACCCAATATTTTGCACTTATTACTGAGTCTTCATGCATACCTGACCATACTTACCATCCAGTCTTATAATGCAGGACCACAAAAGTATGTTTTCAGTGTGTGTAACATCACAGCTAGTAATGTAAAGAGGCAATGAATTGCTTTGATATCTATTGACAAACTTGATTTTCTTGCTTTCAGTGATACTGCTTTGCATAGTGGAAATTGTCATTATACTGATGTTAATATTTCTGAGAAATCGAATCCGGATTGCCATTGCACTTTTGAAGGAAGGTAGCAGGTAAATATGTTGGTGAGAATATATCAGTATATCATTGGATTTCTGATATTTGCTTTTGGGGACACTTCTAGTATTCTTCACTCTTTCTATATAAATATATGCTTTGGTTCTTATCTTCACTTAAGGATGAAATAAGCACAATGAAGTTGCAAGATACATCCTGACCTTTCATCAGACTGTTAGGCTTTTGTGTAAATGAAATCAATTTGCACAAATGCCTAATTGTGTATTTGTATTTTACTTCTACAAGAAAGCAGAGAGACATCACATGAATTGGATATGTGTACTATCAAATTTCCCAACAGTCAGCAGTACCAGCCTAGAAATTGTGCTCTGAGAGAAGTTGGAAATTAATGCAAGAATGAGATCATTCATGTGATGTATTTTGTGTATCCACGTTTAGTAAGAACAGCAAGCCCATTTTTGACTGCTTATAATTTAAAGATACAGAAGTCATTTTAATAGTTGGTCTGAATCTTCACAATCAAAGAATATTGAATACATTTTGTACTGGCTGTAATTAAAGCTCATTTTAATAATCTGTAAGGTTATTATGATGTAAATGCTATTGTCAACCACAGATCGAACTAAGAAAATGATCCTAGCCATAGCAAGGATCTGCCTCATATCATGGAGCAATTCTTGGTCAAGAAGGGTTCCTTGAAGGCAAACATGATTAGATCCCATTTAAAATACATAAACTGAATTAAAACAGATCAGATGGACCACCAGTCTTTCTCGCTATCATTATCTAAACTGAATTGCAGTTTACAATCATTCGTCAGGTCTTTTATTAAGTTGGATGTTTTTGCTGTTGCCACACACCACAGGCATAAGAATTTCCTGAAAGCTAGCACCAAAAAGGTTTACCAGCTGAGGGTTCTGAAATTTGGATTCTACTGGTACATAAATGGACATTTAGACTTGGGCACAGAGCTAGATTTTGACCATCTAACCAGCTGCTCTATACAAATTTTTATTACCAAAGGTAGCCAAAAAACAAGAGGGTCATGTAGAAGATCTCTCCATGTGTGGCCAAGAAATCACCAAGTGCCACCCAAGTCGACAGTGTTGTATAATCAGTGGGTCTCTGTATTAGGTGGTTGTAGTTCAAACATTGTTTTTTCTTGTATTTAAGACAGTTATTTTCTTGTAAACAATGTTATTTTTATCATGAATTCAGTGAACCATTCTAACCAAATTCTCAGGGTTGCTGCCTGTGAAGCTGACTATAAGTGAAAATAGATTTTGTCCCAGTGGAAAGCTGTGGATGAGTAACCAAGCACATATATTTCTTGAATCTGTTGTCATGAACAGCATTAGAGCTAACAGCTTCATCAGAGGAGTTCTAGTGTATGAATGTGTTCCTGTATCCTTGGTCAGACCCTGTCTTTTCTCATACTGCTAGTGTCAAAATATGGAGGCTCTTATGGAATAAAGGAGTCCTACAGTTCCAACATACAGTAGTTATTTTTCATTAATGCTATAAACATGGGGATTAGCAGTTATTTGTTGCAGTTCTAGACTGCACCATATATTTTTCCCCTTTTTCATTACAATTCAGGACCACTTTATAAAATAAGATGCCTTTATTCAAATAAGTGCCAAACAGAAACACTCCTGAAACTTCATAAACTTCCTGTTGCGAGGTAATAATGCCTTGTAGTTCTGCAGCAACATTTAAAGGTCACTTGAGGGCAATAGTTTCCAATATTTATGCAGAATGCATGAAAAGAAGCGCGGCATGTCATTATTGTAAATGCATCAGACCGTACCCTATAGTCAATGTCTTGAAAAATATGCTGCTAATGACTGAGAGCTAAATTATTTTCCCCCGGCTCAGTTTAACTATTTTTTCAGTGAATTGGCAATTTATATTAGCAATAAAGCACTTGCAATCTATAGCTAGAACAGTTAACAAGCGGTTTGTTAGAATAAACTGTCTGTGACTTAACCACCAACCAGGTCTATCATTAATGCCTGAAAACCACTGATTTGCGGTGATTATTTCTTAAGTAGCATAAGGTGATACTTTTTTTAAATGATTCTACAGCTATTCAAGGGTTTCAAGCACAAGTCATGATTTTTCAGTGTAGAAGTGTAATTTAACAAGCATGCTTGATTTGAGCCATATTTCCTCAGTAGCTTATGGAAAATAATGATGAAGAAAATCATGTGCAGAGTGCATTCCCCTCAGGAGCAAAAGCTACTCATAATGCTATTATATAGAAGGCATGGCTATATAAGAGAAGGTGTAAAAAAATTGGGAGTCATATACATCGCTGCTTAGGTGTTGTGCCTTCCATCCCTCCTTGATGAAGATGTGCCTGCCATTGTCTGCTGCTATAATAAAATCAAGCAGACACACACTATTTACACTTTTGATTGAACTTCGCCAGTTTCAGTCCACAAAGAACTCCCTCAAATATTCTTGCCTTTGGTGATGTAGCGGGGAGAAGATCCAATCCTTGGCCTCTCCAGTGTTGAATCATAGAATCATAGACTTAGAAAGGATCACACAGGCCATCTAACCAACCCATGCAAAGCAGGAAAAGCACAATGAAAGCACACCTTACAGATGGTGATCCAGTTTCTGTTTCAAAGTCTCCAAAGGGGAGCTTCCACCACACTCTAAGGCAGAGACTTCCATTGTTGAGCAGCTCATACAGTCAGGAAGTTCATCCTAATGTTCAAGTGGAATCTCCTTTCCTGTTATTACTCCAAGTCCTAGTTTCCAGGACAGCAGAAAACAAGTCTGCTCCCTCTTCCTTATGATAGCCTTTCAAATATTTATACATGTGATCATGTCTCCTCTCAACCTTCTCTTTTGCAGGCTAAACATCCCCAGCTCTTTAAACTACTCCTCTTAGGGCATGATATGAAGACTTTTGATAATTTTAGTTGTCCTTCTCTGGACACCTTTCAGCTTGTCAATATCTCTTTTAAACTGTGGTGCCCAAAATTGTACACAGTATTCCAGGTGAGGTCTAGCCAAAGCAGAATAAAGAGGCACCATGGCTTCCCTTGATCTAGACACTATGCTCTTTTTGATGCAGCCTAAAATCCCATTGGCTTTTTTAGCTGCTGCATCACACTGTTGGTTCATATTTCTCAGAGACATCTACCCCGAATTTATCAAGAACAATCTACTCAGCTGTGTTCAAGAACCCTTTATCTCCCCCCCCCCCCCCACTACCGGGGTTCTTGTTCTGCATCATTTCTGATTGGGGAATAAGCTTCCATTTGATTTTCTAACCCCAGATTCTGTGTTTGTGAACCAGCCCACTCCTCCCTAGCAGGCATGTAGCTGGGGGGGGGGCTTCCCCCCCCCCCCAAATTCTCATGGTGGTTCGCGAAAAGGCCTTACTGGTGCATTATTTAAACTGTTATGTTTATTCATATCATGATCTGATCACCATACTCAATATATCCCATATGCATGGGGATATTGGGGTAACAATACAAAAGGTTTGCTAGGGTAGACCCTCTTTCACTCAGACTCAGCCCCCCCCCCCCCCCGAATCAAAATCCTGGCTACGGGCCTGGCATGAATTCATCAAGGATAGTCCACTCAGTTGTATCCAAGAACCTCTCATCCTTGCCAACATGTTCTAATTACTCATCATCTCTGGGTAGAGAACTTTGAATCTATTCTGTAACTCCAGATTCCCAGAATGATGCTTGATCCTCCTCCTCCTCCTTCTGTATGTTAAATTCCTCCAATCATCGACCTCCACATCTGAAGTGACCTCCTCTGTAGGTTCATTTGATGTGCATTGCACATCTAGGACAGTCTACTGGGCTGCATCCAGGTAAAACTCAAGCACCCTGATCTCCTTAAGTGTAGAGATTCAGGTCTCCAGTTGCTGGATCCAACAAAGCAACCTGTTTGCATTTGCTGCAGATGTAGTTTGCCAGGTGTTCTGGCCAAAAGACAAACATTCTACATGTTCTACAAGTGACTGTATCTCCTTCACACTCCATAATCAGGTGATTTAGGTTAAAAGCAGGAACTCCTATCCTGGGCTCTAGAGTTGGCCTGAGCTCTGGAAAGACATGAGCCCCTTCTCAATTAGGTCCCTGAGCTTGGCAAGATGACTCCAAACTCTATGCCTTCCTCCAAGTCCACTCTATTTACAACCTATACACAGAAAAGTCTATGTTCCAGTCTTTCCTCATTGTACTGACCTGAGGCTAACCAGCAGTAAACTGGAAGGTATTTCTGAGCCAATCATATAACAAGTGCTCAAGCCATGCTGCTCCTGTGATACTCTGTTCCTCTCTTGATGGATGGTTGGGTTGGAAAAGTTAATTGTTGGTTAGTGTTTCAACCATCCTAAGACATCTGGTGCTAAGAGACTGGATTTTGGGAACAGAGAATTTTAATTTGTTTCCACTAATCTTTCTTTCTGTTAACATTCTCTTTGGAAACCTCATATTGAAACAAGTCACCTCCTGAAGTTCTTTATTTGGCAGCAAAAAAATGGGGTCCATTTCACAGAACAAACTCTGTTCAGTATTTTTGTAGAGTATTCCATTGTCAGACAACAAAGGGAATCAGATTCATGATGTCACCTTCAAAATATGAGCATGCCAGACACTGAGAGTGATGCCTGTGTGAAGAACAAAGGAAGAATATAGTTAGTACAAAGCTTGCCTCTATAGAATGAGTAAGAAAATAAAGAAGCAAAGTTATTGGAGCTGAAGCCAAACACTGCAGTACAGAAAAATCAATATCTCCGTGTGTAAAGCTTTAAAATGTTCATCTGAAAACAATAAACAAAAAAGTATATTAGAAGAGTATCATTAATATAGCTCTCATAGTTATTTAATGCTGTTGTACATTATTACTTAATGGAAGAAGTGATCAAAGAGACTTGAAAAGAATGGAATAATATTGAGCGCTGTGCATATCAGGATAAAGAGAAAGGAGAAATAAGGAGAAACATAATAGTAAGAATTTTTTTTACAAAGACTTACACAGTTGGCTATTAGTATCCACTGGGGTTTGGCTCCGGGACACCCCACCCCTAAATACAAAACCTGTGGGTGCTCAAATCCCATTATAGACTGTGGTGCTGTAAAATGGGGTCCCTTATATGAAATAACAAAATCAAAGTTTGCTATTTGGATTTTTTTTAAAAAAAATTTATTTGCAAACTATGGGTGATTGAATCCATGGATACAGAATCCATGAATACAGGGGGTCAATTGTATAGCACACAATCCTGCATACAGAAAGTCTGAAAAAAGTATCTAAGATTAAAGAAGCATGTAAATGTGTGGATTGAGCATTATGCCTGTTGATTGCAAATTTTTATGTTCATTCTTTTCTTTTCTTTTTTCAGGGCCATTGGCTACATCATGTCTACACTGTTCTACCCAATCATCACCTTCATTCTCATTGCAATCTGCATTTCTTACTGGGCTGTGACAGCTGTGTATCCTTTTTGGACTCCAAGGGCAAATGAGGGCAGGATCTTCTCACGTTTCCCATTCTTTGCTTCATTATTAAAGCAGAAGTGCAGGGAATGTTTAAGCCCCTCCCAAAGAAACTCTATTCGTTGAGTAGCAAAGACTGCTGAGCCCTCATAACCTCTCATTCAGGCTGCCTTGTTGTTGTTGTTGTTGTTGTTACTATGTTTATTATATGCATCTATGCCCTGCTTTCTCAATCCTAAGGTCCATTTATGGAAACGTGTGTACTTAACTTACTTACTTAGGTGATCCTTCATAGCTCGGGGATGATTGTCTTCCAGATGTGGTGTCTTGGCAGTGCATCTGTAGGTGGCTGTGGAGCCCTATTCTTGATCTGCATGTTCTTCCGCAATGAGGACATCAATTTCCAGGTGGAAGGCAATCCCAGTCAGAGTTGGCTTGATGCTCCTTCCTATTGTCATGTTTCTCTCTTTTGCCCTCCATTCATGCCTCCGTTCCGCAGCACTGCTGGTCACAGCTGACCTCCAGTTAGAGCGCTCAAGGGCCAGGGCTTCCCAGTTCTCTGTGTCTATGTCACAGTTTTTAGGTTGGCTTTAAGCCCATCTTTAAATCTCTTTTTCTGCCCACCATCATTCTGTTTCTCATTCTTGAGTTCAGAGTAGAGTAGATGCTTTGGGAGATGGTGATTGGGAACTTGTGTGTGTGGCTTGTGGAAGTCTAAAATTCTAAAAATCCCTCCCCATGAAATTTATAGTACAACAATGTATGATTTTCTTTAGTCACAAGGCAGTTATAAGTTCACTTCTGAATTGCCTTCCTAAGTTTCCAATGCAAGCCTAGCAAGAGCCGGGGGGAGGGGTGGTAATACATTTTGGGTGAAAACCTTATGGAAAATCCTGGCTATGAATTACTGAGATGGATAAATGCTTTTGGGTAAAAATATCATGGAAAATTAATGTTGATATGCTCCCCCCACACCATTGCAACAATCACCTGAAGATGTATTTTTATTTTATTTTTCTATATTTGCCCAGTATTTTTCCCTCTGGTCTCTATATATGAGAACCTTAAATCATACTGTGTCCTTGTCTGTTACCCCTTTGGCCATCGCTGTTATTAAGCAAAAGTATGACAGTATTTTACTCTCCTGGTGAAAATGCCCTCAGGCACAACCAAATGGGGTTGCAGTAAGTGCATAAACACTGTGGTATGATATATACACTAGCCATGGGAAAGCAGAGATTAAGTGTATTCTCTCGGGGCTTTCCTATTAGTGCTAAGTGTCATTTGCTATGCCTCTCACTCTGGAAGGAAGCCTGTGATTTTTGTTTCCTACTTAACTCAATTAAATTAAGCTTCCTGGCTACATCAGGGGAACCGGTGTACAAAGTCATGGCTAATCAGAGCCTGTGCAAGTATGCAAATCTGACCTGTTACCCAGAGGTAAGTGTGCATAATTCCTTTCTTGTAAAACCCTGTGTAAATTCGAGTTTTTCCATTAATGGTCTCTGTGTCAGCATTGTCAATTTAAAAGCAATCTCCCGGTTCTTTCTATTAGAATAGTACATTATAAACAAATAGATCTGATCTTATTATTAACCTTTTAGGCTAGATACATCATATTGAACTCAATTGAGTTTACATCTGAGTAGACACATGTAGGATTGCATAGTCGGTCATTTTATTATCTCTGTTAGAAATCTTCTGTGGCACTTGTGTTTAGCTGGTGCACAAGATAGAAGAGTGGCCAGTACATACCATGGGGGAGATCAGCATATTCCTTAATATTGATATGAGCAACTTATGGCTCTCTAGAGCAGTGGTTCTCAGCCTGTGGGTCCCGAGGTGTTTTGGACTACAACTCCCAGAAATCTCAGCCAGTTTTCCAGCTGTTAGGATTTCTGGGAGTTGAAGGCTAAAACATTTGTGGACCCACAGGTTGAAAGCCACTGCTCTCAAGCAAAGTTTCTCAAACTTTGCTCCTCTAGATGTTTTGGACTTCAGCAATAGAGCGCTACTTCTTAAACTGTGAGCCCCAGTCCCAAATGAGGTCTCTTTGACTCAGTGTTGAGATAACGAAAAATTGGTAGTGGTGGAAGGTTCCTGAGCACCTCAATTTGCACGAATCTGTGAGCAACAATGTGCAGTGTTCACAGTGGACACTGCACAAAATGCTTTAGATGTACTGCACAAAAAGGAAAATCACCAGTTCAGTGAACCTTGCAAATGTTGATTTATTATTAGTAGATGCTTGATTTTATACCTATTTTGTATATCTGTATAGCCATCATTGCATAAAATTTATTGAGTGGAATGGGGCCGTGAATGGAAGAAGAGCTTCTTAAACTATGCATCGGAACCCCAAATGGTCCTTTCCCATTCTCATGCGTATCTCTGCTTTTTCTTCCTTCTCTCTCTCTCTCTCTTCCATCTCTTTCTGCTTTCCTCTCTTTTTCTCTCTTGTGTGTCTCTCTGCCTTCCTTGTATTCTTTCATGCATGCACCTCTCTGCCTTCCTTTCTCTCACTCTCTTTCTCTCACATATACGCACACATATTTCCTTCCCCTCCCTCTCTCCTTTATATACTTGGGGTCGCACAAACATTTCTCTAGTAAAAAGGAGTTGTGAGTCAAAGAAGCTTAAGAAGCTCTGCTCTAGAGGATGTTGGACTTCATCTCCAATCAATATTAGCCAGCATAACCATTTTCAATGGGTAACAGCAGTTGTACTTCAGATACAATTTGTCTACTCCTGATTTGGGACTATGCCGAAATAATTACTTACTGGTCTGTATTTAATGATAGTAATGTTAATAATTCAAAATTGGTCTGAAATGTTTTTTATTTTTTTAAAATCTGGTATTGACTAACTCTTCTCTTATCAATGAACAGACTTTCAACACCACCAACGTAACCAAGCTTTGCCCAGGGGCCCAATGCACCTTTGCTTTCTATGGAGGAGAAAGCTTGTACCACAGATACATCTTAGTCTTTCAGCTCTTCAATGTTTTTGTCTTTCTTTGGTTGGTCAATTTTGCAATTGCACTGGGTCAGTGTACCCTTGCTGGTGCCTTTGCCTCTTACTATTGGGCTTTTAGGAAACCTTCTGACATCCCAACATGCCCTCTTTTTGCCTCATTTGGACGAGCGATAAGGTAAGCTAAAAAAAATGTGAATCTCAATTTAAATTAGTTTCTCCTTTCAGAAATGGGCACTAGCTCATGGAGGAAAATATGTTTTATAGTCAAAATTTTGCACTGTGATACATGCATGTTCACTGTAGTCTGTCTGAATTCCATCGCTACTCCATTGATTCAGCTTTGATGATGAATCAATGTCTATCTATACATCCATCACTTTATTTGTATCTGTCCTTTCTCCCAGGCTGGAACTCTACCAGTTTCCAAATAGGCAGAGAGCCCAATGAAATGCAAATGGTTTAAAATGGATACATTTAAGATTACCAGTTGTATTCAATAACAGCAGGATTACAGCCAATCAAAACAACACTGTTCTTATTCCCAAAGGCTTCCTGGGGAAGAAAAGTATTACCATAACTTATGGGGGAAAGGAAAACAAAGAAATAGTCTTCCTGGCAACTCTAGGGAGGGAGTTCTAAAATGGGGAAGAAGTCACAGTGGTCTTCTGTTGTGTCCCCATCATTAATGCCTCTGAAAGCAGCATAATAGAGAGATGCATCCTCTGCGGATCTTAAACCTCGGGCAGGTTCATGTGGGAAGATACCATCCCTCCGAAGTCATATCGTGCTTTGTAGGTCTAACAACATTTTGAATTGTTCTTAGAAACAAACCAGCTGCCAATGGGGCTGTTGCAAAGAGAGAGTTGTGTGCCTCCTGTAAGCAGCCCTGCAGCTCTTTGGACCAGTTGAATCTTTTGAATAGCCTTCAAAGGCAGCTTCATGTAGAGTGCATTAATCCAATCAGGATGTAATTAGTACAGTACACCATCCAGAGTGTGGAATTATATTTTAACTGGTATAGTTCCATCCTATGGAATAATTGGATTTGTACTTTCATGTGGTATCAGAGGTGTCTGACAGAAAGGGGCAAATGTTTCACAAAACTATGAATCATATCAGTTAATGGGACATCAAACTGCTATAATTGTGCAGTGTAGATATATCTCTCCACAGCCAAGTCAGACATCCCAAGAAAGGGGTGCAGCTGGTGCACAGGCCTTCATTGTGCAAATGAACTCTTGACCATTGCAGAAGACTGGACCTGCAAAGCCAGAGCTGAATGCAGCACTGCCCCCAAGTTACAGACCTGGATTCTCAAGGGGAATGTAATCCTATCCAACACAGACTGAATCCCTATTGCTTGATGTGCGTTACAACTGACCAGGAGCACCTTTGTCTTGTCTGGATTGAGTTCCAACTTCTTCACCCTCATCCAGTCCCTCATGGCCAGTGCCCATTGGTTGAGAAAATAGTTTCCTTTGATTGAGGTGGAAAGGAGAGATAGAGTTGGATGTCATTCGCATATTGGTGACACTTCAGCCCCAAACCCTGGGTGTTAATTCAATGCATGTGCTGTAGCTGATGCTACCAAAAGCATTTAGCTCTCTGGTGTTGCTTTATATTAGGTGCCTTCAGTGCATCCTTTCAACTATAGTGATAGAAATAAAGGTTTTAAAAATAATTTCTGTACAAGTTAATGTATCAATGAAAAGAGAAATTAAAAGCTACAGGGAGAATTGCAGTTTGTAGTCAGTTACTATAATCATATTAGGTTTTTTCTCTCACACAAAGTTATTGTGAAGGGTTCCACAGATAGGTCAAAAGACAACCTGGAAAAATGGCACTACCAAGAAGAATCCTCTACTTTGTGTGACTGTAGAGCAGAACTGTTGCAATCCAGAGCAGGGAACGAGGCCCTCAGATAACTATCCACCACACTTGGCTGTGAAAAACAATCCTTTTTTATTGAAGAAAAATGGTTACAAAATAAAGGAAAAATGCAAGTCAAAAGCCACAGCAAAATCAGCAAACATAAATTTAAATGGACAAAGCAAAACCAAAAGCCTCACTGGGAAAATACTGGAATCTGTTAGCAATCCACTAACCGTACTTGATATCCTAGAAATCTTCCCAAACTATGGCCAGGGAACCAGGTGAACTGCCAAGGTCTTCATCAATTCTGAAACGATGCCTGAACTGAGACAATCAGCTCGGCGTATTGCAATTAAAACTCAAGAATTGGTTCCGTGAACCGCCCTTCTGTTTTGAAGCCAATGTTTTTAATTCTTGAATTCGGGAGGATCGACGCAAACTGAGTGTTTTACTTCTGTCTTCCCAAATTTGGCCCCTTCTGTTGTCATTACAGTTAACAGGTGCAGAAGGGAGGGAAAGTTCAAGGTCTCCCTCTGAAACATTCTCAGGAACACTGGTACTTTCATTTTCCAAATCTACAGAAGTTCCTTCCTCACTAATTTCAGGAACATTGGCATTTTCCAAACCTACAGCAGTTTCTTCCTCACTAATTTCAGGAGCATTGGCATCAAAAGGTACATTTCCACTAGCATCAGTAAATATACTTTCATTAGCATCAGGAGGAACAAACAGAGAATCAGGTTCAAGTTCAAACTCAGGCTGAACCCCAACAAGAACAAACAACTCAGCATCTGTATGCTTGCCCACAATGCTCTGCCTCATGCACAGAGAAGAACAGTTTAAAGCTACAGATAATGCAGTTGCTGTGCCTGTTTTTGATCAAAAACTATTTAGCTGCCTGTGATCCCTTTATTTCATAAGTTTTAAACTTACTTATTTACGCAATGCTTTTGATACAAAACAAATAAACTATGACAATTTAAAAAAAATCAGAATTACTGTCTAGTTAAACAGAAACACTCTAGTTTCTAATAAGATTCCCATTACTGAATGGTGCCATTTTATTTTCTACTAGGTATCATACAGGTTCCCTAGCATTTGGCTCTTTAATTCTTGCCATAGTCCAACTGATTCGAGTAATCCTGGAATATCTGGATCACAAACTCAAAGGTGTGTTTCCTGAAATTGTACTATTTTTGTTTCTGTTTGGTAAACAGTGGACATTTGTAATAAAATTTTGAGAACTGTATCTTGATGTGATATAATTTAAATAAGTTGCTCAAAAATTGGAAACTGTATCTTGGCGTGATACACTCTATATAAGTTGCTTAGAAGTACCATTTATTTCATTTTGTTATTTTAAATAGGGAAAAACAAGGGTGGTGTGGCATAGGAAATGCTAATGTGTCTTGTATGCTGTGGGGTAACTCCAACCGTCCAGCAGGCTGCTGAGAAAATTCAGTGCATTGATATTGCCCTAATACAAAACTGAATTTTAATATGATAATTTGCACGATATTGTTGCAGATAAACACAAAAGTATTGGTATAAACAGGGTCTAAGCCAAGGTGCATGTCATTTTTGCATCCAAATGGCATTTCTTCATTCTTAACGTGGGTTTTTTTTGTTTTGTTTGCATTTTGGGGTAGGCTCACAGACTGCCTTTGCTAAGTTCCTCCTCTGCTGCCTCAAATGCTGTTTTTGGTGCTTGGAAAAATTTCTCAAATTTATCAACAGAAATGCCTACATCATGGTATGTATTTTGGTCTCCTTTTCTTGTATGCTACTATAGCATTTCCTTTTCTAAAGAATAGCTAATAGTCTACCAAACACTGTCCCCAAAGCCTTGTTTCAAACTATAATATTTAGATTTATTTCTAGTAGCTCTGGGGTAAAAATCACTGATGAGTTTCTTTACTGCTGCTTACAAAGATAAATATTTTCACAAAGCTGAAATGGGTCCTTAGAAAAACGTAGCAAGCATGGTCGATCAGTTCTTGGATAACATTGCCCTTTTCCTGCAGGCTACAGTAAACCTATCCAAATCATATTCATGGAACTAAAAATTAGAATGAAAAACTGTTTTGTGTTTTTTGGGGAGAAAGGAACAAAATGTATAAAGCAATATTTTAAAATGCTGTATGAGAAATGAGCAACATTACACCTAACTAGGTTGTTTTACCAACTAATATGCATATTATCTCAGCAGAGGCCAATTGAGAAATTCATCAGGAATTTATAAAAAGGGCTTCTTGCAGTGCAGTGGGATTTTATGAGTCCAGGTTATATTGTGATATGCATCTGATTTCAATCTGTTCAACACAGGATTAGATCCCCAATCTGGCACAAGATGGCCTTCATCTTGAATGTGCCTGACACAATTGGGGCAAGTATGAAAAAGAAAGATATCAACCTAATCCAAGTGCTAGCCCCAGTTAGAGCAGACCGCTTGATTTAATGGGATTTCTATATGTTCCTTGCAGCAATTGTTTCAATAGGTCTACTGTATTTGAGAGTAATAATTGTATTTAGGTCACAAAAACAATAACATGGCTGCAGTCCTATGCATACTTTTTTGATATTTGCATTGGAGACAGTGTGGCTTACCTTTGAGTAGACATAAGTAGGGTTGTCCTGTAAATGTACATTTAAAATGTGAAAAGATATTATGTCTCAGAATATAAAGGCCAATTATAGCCATACATGCACAGCCATCATTATTAAAGTAGTATCCAAATGAAAAGCACATTTCTGCTTTTCTACCTATTCAGTCACAAAGACACGGAAGACTGTAGCCACGTGAGAGTTGTAAAAGCAAACAAACACACCCTCGTCTTCATCCATCCTTGCTGTGCAATTGTTTTGGGCCTTAGAAATGAAATCTAGTCTCTTGAATTTTGCCCAGAGGATTCAAAGACGCCTGCATGGATCACAGAGCATGGCTATGGTGTGTACTCTCAGTAACCCAGTGGGCAAAGCAATATATTCTCAACCAGCTGAGACTGCCAGACATATTTCTTCTTTAGTGCCATATAGAATGCATTAGAGTCGCTTAATCTTGAGGCTGCTAAGGCTGTTTGGGGTCACTCGCTGTAAAGTGTCAGAGGGAGATGTAGTTATTCCTGAAGGTCAGGACAACTGTAAGCCTCCCTCTGCCCTTCTTTAGAAAGTCAGCATTGAGTTGTGTCATCTATTATTCCATTTCTCCAAAAATCACACAGCTTATCTCAGGCCATATAGAAACAAAAGCAAATGTCCAAGGTCTTATTCCTTTTTGTGCTCTTTTATAATGACCTGAATGCTTTAAATATGTACAGTTTAGTTTCTATGAAATATATTAATATCCATCTGAAAAAAAAAACTTAAGTGGTTAAAGGCCAGGAGTGGCTAAGATCTAGCCTTCTGGGTTATGGAAATTGGATGATTTTGCCCATAGATTGGGAATATAATACCATGCATTTATTTATTACTTGGTGTCATTAGTCCAATAACATGAGCTTATAAGTGGACTTTTACACAAATAAGCTGTTATTATTTTGCAGATTGCAATATATGGTAAAAACTTCTGCGCCTCAGCAAGAGAAGCTTTCTTTCTTCTCATGAGAAATGTAGTAAGGTAAGGAGGGGTCCGACACCGTGATTCCAATTTCATGACACTCACAAAAATACTCTTGTATTTTATTTAATGTCTATATTAACACCTGAGCCACAGAAAATTAGGGATTGGAACCAAAGTGGAAGTTGGCCCCAGCTAAGTCAGTGCCCTCAGATTTGGATGTAATTTACTATTTCATCTGTTTTTCTAATGTAGCATCATGGAATTCATTGCATTTCTTTCTTATGCATACCTGAGAAAAGTCTTTTAGTTTGATGGGAGTATAATAGTTAATCATTGGGCATTTGGAGCCCCCGGTGGCACAGTGGGTTAAACCCTTCTGCTGGCAAGACTACTGACCAAATCAACAGTTCGAATCTAGGGAGCGGGGTGAGCTCCCACCCGTCAGCTCCAGCTTCTCATGTGGGGACATGAAAGAAGCCTCCCACAGGATGGTAAAACCTCAGGCATCCCCTCAGCAACGTCCTTGCAGACGGGCAATTTTCTCACATCAGAAGCAACTTACAGTTTCTCAAGTAGCTCTTGACACGAAAAAATGGGCATTTGATTCTGGAGTTCTCATATCCAAAGACTCAGTGCTTCTTGAAAGTCTCTTACCATTTTCCTTTTCAACATTACAAAATTCAAGAAAACAAGTACTAATGTGTTAATTCACATTAAGGAGAAATAAGTATAAAATCTTATAAGTTGCTATTTCAAAAGGAAGTAAACAGAAAGTCTCTCCATGGAGCCATCAGGTAGCTGAAAGCAGACCATTTGAAAAAGAAAAGTTTTTTTCCACTCTTATCAATTCTTTCTTTCATAGAGTTGCAGTGTTGGATAAAGTGACAGACTTCTTATTATTCCTGGGGAAAATTCTTGTTGCTGGAGGTGTGGGTAAGTCACTGCATTATTTTGATTCCGTCATTGATTGAAGACAACAGGCAATTTATAAAAAAGGGTTTCAATGAGGTCTTTCTAGTTAGTGCCAATATAATTCAGACTTGCAGCCTTTTTATAACCTGTATGTAAATCATTACAGGAAAACCTCATTATCTTGGTGTCTCTCAGGGCATCTGTTAATCAGATAAACAAGGAACTGCTTAGATTATTGTATTGGTGGGAATCTAAAGAGCACAGGCAAAATAATTTGTTCAAGGATGAGCTGAAACCAAAGAATGAGCAGCTATAAAAAGAAAAATGTGTCCTTCCAGCAAGAATAAAAAGATGGGATTTCTCAACCCATTCCCCACCTCCAGATTCCTGTTTTTTTAGAGATGTTGTTAGGGGAATGCTGAACCAAAAAAGGAATCATTCAAACAAATTTGGGAGATGCCCAAATCAAAATGGAACTTGCACCTAAAATGACTTCTAAGGATTCAGCAGCAAATTGCAGTCTCAAGGACACAGTGATGCAATATGTATTTTACCTCCTAACATACAAGGAAGTCACCAAGATACCGAGGGCCCTTCCACACAGCTATATAACACATAATATCAAGGCAGAAAATCCCACAATATCTGCTTTGAACTGGGTTATCAGTCCACACTGCCATATATTCCAGTTCAGAGCAGATAATCTGGGATTTTATTCAGCTATGTGGAAGGGGGCTGAGAAGGGAAAGGGAGAGGAGGAGGATGTAGTTTTACAGTTGGCAGGTCTCGTTTCTATTAGCAGTGAAAGATTTTACAAAGGCTCTCTGATCCCAGTGTTTTGGGGAAGTAGGTGGGAGTAATATATTGCAGGAATGATCACAGTCCATTTTGTTAGATTGATCCTGATGGCTTTTTGCTGCTAGAGTAAAACAGCTTTGGTTGCATTTGTGGGACCTGGTGGGGGCGGGGGCGGGGGCGGGGACACGGACGGATGAAGCACTGATTGCTTCCTTGGAAAATGCTGGATGTTCAAGTAGCCCTGCCTTTGGCACTGTTCTTCCCATGTCTTTCATCCGTCTTGGTTCTATTAGACTTTATGAGACTTTGGTGCCAAATGAGCAGAAAACAAATTTGGGGACTAGGTGGGAATCGTGCTTGCTAGCTGGAAGGAAGAAAGGGTGATGGGTTGGATTTCTTCCTCCTCCTGAAATTGATGATCAGTGCACAAGAGCAAGTATGTTTATGATGGGAGAAAGATATTTAGATCTTACAAAGTCTATTTTACCAGACACATTTGATTTTTTAAAAAATGTTCTCAAAGTTTATTTACTTTCTGAATGATTTGTACTTTTAATTCACTAGGACTCTATCTTGTATATAATGAAGTATTTACTGTTATTGCTTGTACATTCCTTTATCAAGCAAATGAGATTTGTCTTAGATGAAACCATGAAATAGTAAAATTGATTAATGTTTGCCTTGTGCTTAAGGACACATTCCTTGGGCTAATTAATTTACATGGCTTCCTCTCTCTGCTTAGTGCAGATGCTATCGTAAGCTAATATCTCAATTTATCATGAACTATATTGAATCAGATAAATGAAAATAGTTAAATAGCAGTCCAAGAGAAAAATGAGAGTTGTTTAAAAAATCAGATCTTTTTCTTTCTTTTTCTTTTCTTTTTTTCAACTGGATATTTTATTTTATTATCTTTTCTTATTTGTAAAAACCAGTTTCATTGATATAAAATACCATATCACTGATTAAAATCTGGTTCCATGAGCCTCCTATAAATAATCTGAATGTCAGCTTGTGTTCCACTGAAAATAGAGGAACTAGTTCATGTGATGGTTTGTTGCTCAGAAAATTCTATATAGATTACTTCTCCCCAACACATGTGTTGTATATTGCTTAATTTGCTCTTATTAAAGAGATTTTAAGGGGGTTTTCAACTCATTCCTTCTCTGAACAGGTATTGATCCTGAAAATGTATGGTGGCATATTTGTGTGGACTCCTAGAAATGGCATTACCATGTGTACATCATCAGATCTCTTTTAGAATAGCATGGGAAATAATGCCATTAAAGAGCTACCAAGTGCATTTCTGGCACCTGATAACCCGTGTTTTCTCTTCCTGCAGGTGTCCTAGCCTTCTTTTTCTTCACACACAGAATACCAATATTCACACACGAGGCACCATCACTGAATTACTACTGGGTCCCACTCTTGGTGAGGACATTATAAATATTCTTAGAATGTAAAAATCCAGGACTTGTGTCAATATTCAGCTTGATGTGGGCCTGAAGAGGCCTGCCAAGGTTAATGCCGGCATCCCCAAGTTGCTTTTTAAAGATTTGTCTACCATCTTTCGGGAGCTGCAATGCCACAATGGGTTAAACCCTTGTGCTGGCTGAATTGCTGACTTGAAGACCTGAACAATGCTCCAACATGATTTTTACCAAATTTACTAAAGCACTGCAAGTTTTCTGTATTTAAACTAAGAAGTGCTTCATGTCAACCTTTCCAACCTAGTGTTTTCCAGATGCATTGGACTACAACTTCTTACCATCCCTGGTTAGGAATAATGGGAACTGTAGTCCAACCCATCTGAAAAGAACCAGCATATGGTTAAGATTGCTTTATGTAATGCCCATAAAATAAGGTCTAATCAAAGTATATTTTCTTCCCTCTCTCAGACTGTCATTATAGGTTCTTACCTAGTTGCACATGGGTTCTTCAGTGTCTATGCAATGTGTGTTGACACACTTTTCCTCTGCTTTTGTAAGTAGCACTTTATTTTTCTCTTTGGGTAACACTTAGGGAAAGGGCCTCCTAGTTAACAGATCTCATGGAAGTTCATGAGATATGAAGAAGCAAACAGTTCTTCCTCTTCTTGTGAAGTTTGCTGCATGGTAGTCTTCACTGACAAGAAAAGATGAAGCTTATCTACCTTAGCTTTGGCTTCCTTACTTCCACAGTGTCCTCATGGAAACAGCTGGCTTTTTAAACAAATAAGTGCTCTAACTACTAACAGGTTGCTTCTAGGTGCTTTGTAACTTCTTCTTGTCCAATTAGACTTTATTTACATGACTGTTATGTGTTTTTGCTGATAACACATTTTACTATTTCAAAAGCCACAATAAAGTGGGGTGAATTTAAAGTAACATGTTTTAACTTTCAAAAGTATATTCCCCTTTAAGGGAGCTGAAAGGTTACTACAGAGGCCTGAATCTGGTTATTAATCCCAACTACAGCTGCCACATTCAATCAGTTGAATGTAGGTGTTGCCTTGCCAAGTTGCCACAGCATTCATTGGGTCTCCTCCAACTGGGACTGACAATACAAATTAGGCCTGTTGCTATAACATTGTCTAGGATTAAGGGCATTGTTAAACAATCTGTGTTTCAAATCTTGAAGTGTTATATTGGGGGAGAAAAACATTATTTGCTATTATATAAAAAGTTAATTGACTAAAATAACCCCCCCCCTTTTTTTTTTTTTGAAAAAAAGCACAGACTATTAATGTAAAAAGATATAAGGGAATCTTGTAACACTATTGAAACTAATGGTGAAAAATATATTTCTAGCATTTTCATGGCTCACTCCACTGCATCAAATGTGTCTGATTTGTTGTTGCTATGTGCCTTCAAGTCATTTCTGCTTATGGTGACCCTAAGGAAAACCTTTCATAGGTTTTCTTAGCAGGATTTGTTTAGAAGGAGTTGCTGTTGCTTTCCATCGTCACTCAATTGGTTTCTGTAGCTGAGTTATATCGTGCTTGGTTTCCAGAGTCCTAGTCTAAAGCACCTTGCTAAAGCTCTTTATCTCACTAGTAACATGTCTCTTAAAAATTTACTGGTTTATAAAAATACTTAAAAATACTAAAACTGCCCCAGTCCTCCCAAATGATCTTTCCCAGTACAATGATATCAGTGTTATTTCATTAAATGAGCGCAGTTATGCCCTCATCTACCCCCAATATTTCACTGCTCTGTCTTTTTAATGTCCTGATCTGTGAACTTAATCTGAGTTAGGTTTCTGTGTCAAGACTTTTGAGCATGGCAATATGTGATGCCATCATAAAAGGTTGCTAGCCTTGCTAACTGCATGTTCTCTTTGGGATGATTCTGTGCACCAAATGCCGGGAAACACAACCAAGAAAGTGTTGTTGCATTCATATCATGTTGGGGGTCTCCCATGAGCAACTATGGGGTAATGTCAAAAGTTTCCATATTTATCAGTACGACTTTCCAATAGCACTTCCTCTCTAACTTGCTAGCCTTGGACAAAGTCAGCAAAATATCATTTTCATACGCCTGTACTTTGCAATTGGTTATCTAAAAATTGTTGCCATATGTAAAAGGTGGTTACAATGACATGCATGTTTCTTTTCCCTTTCATTTCTATACATGAAAATGATATTGTGATTGCTCCAGCAATTGTGATCTACTGTCTCCATTTTTAAATGACTGAATGAGGAGGCGGTGAATTGCAATCTTTATATGCCTTCTTAATACCAGTGGTTCTCAATCTGTGGGTCCTCAGGTATTTTGGACCACAACTTCCTGAAATCCCAGCCAGTTTACCAGCTGTTAGGATTTCTGGGAGTTGAAGGCCAAAACATCTGGGGACCCACAGGTTGAGAAACACTGCTTAATACTGATTGATCATGTCAGAATGGACAGAGAAAGCTGACCTGCATTGACCTCTGACTCTTCACTTGCTGTGAAGAGTCAAGTTCATTACCATTACTTACATTTTAGAAATTATGTTTAAGCATCAGACCATTTTCATATAAGAGTGAATTGAAGTTTTTTTTTCCCACACTGGTAATGCTGGCTAGGGCTTATGAGAATTGTAGATCAAGACACTGGGAGGGCATAAGATTTGAAGAAGGCTGTCTTTATGTATGTGAATGAGCCTTCAAATCACCTGTCAATTTACAGCAACACCATGAATATCATAGGGTTTTTTGGGGCAAAGAGAGGGCTTTGGCAGTTCCTTCTTCTGAAACATATTCTACAGCACCTATGGTAGTATTTTTAGCAGTTTCCCATCCAACCAAAACTTACCCTGCTTAGCTTTCAAGATACATGGTTCTTATGTCCTTGTGCAATACTTCCAGATATCAGTACAGTCTGACCTCTTGTGGCAAAAATAAAAATTAGACCAAGAAACAAATAGAAAATAATACAGTTCACTGTCAGACAAAGAGCAAAGAGAACTCACCCTAGCAAAATATAGTGTCACCACGTTTCACCATATCATGGGGAACAAATGCCAAGGGTTTTAATTCTGAAAACGAAAAAGTCACCCTTAACTGGGTTGTTGTGTGTTTTCCGGGCTGTATGGCCATGTTCCAGAACCATTCTCTCTTGAAGTTTTGCCTGCATCTATGGCAGGCATCCTCAGAGGTTGTGAGGATGCAGGTGAAATGTCAGGAGAGAACCCAGTGATTCCGGCCATGAAAGCCTTCAACAATACATCACCTTTAACTGCCCTGAGTCGCCTGCGGGCTGATATGGGCGGGATATAAATAATGTAAATAAATAAATAACTGCTTGCACATGCAGAAGAATCACAATATGTCCCGACAGTGGCTTGGTTATGAACTACTTTGTATCAATAAGGAATGAAGGAGGGTGATGGTTTTGGGGCATCTTGCAGTGACACAGCACTAAAGCTCACCTCTGTTGTAACAGGATTTCTAACCTTGACTCTTCATCTCTCTCTGGCTTTCTCTCCTTTGTTTTGATTTGTGTTTGACTGCATGACTGCTTGCTGCTTTGGCTGCTTCATATTCAGGTGAAGACTTGGAAAGGAATGACGGATCGACAGCGAAACCATACTACATGTCAGCTAGTCTGCATCGCATTTTGGGAAAGAAGGAACTGAGTCCTAAAAAGTTAATGGGATAATGTTCAAAAGAAATTGTGAAAATGGCAGCAGTGTTACTGTTCAGAAAATAACAATTAAGCAGGACACATTGAATTTCAACAAAGGATGTGTTTAAAAAGTACAAATGATGCTTATGATGAAGGAATTATTTGTATTTGCTTTATACTATCTAAAAACGAGCTGACAGGCAACCTTTAAAATCAAGTCTTTTTAACAGCTGTGATACAAGGCCACATCATAGTTTTTATAGAGTGCCTATGGACAAGTGTAAATGTGAAGCTTTTTTAATCTTTAGCTCTTAGTGTTTTCATAACTTTTCTAACTTGAGATTTTGCTGTTTTACACAACAGCCATTTTGATAACTTTTTTTATAGGTGTATATTTGTAAAGGATATTCAGGCAATTTTTGAAAGCACCACAGTGCGTCCGAATTAGCCATAAACAGATCAAAACTATAGATAACCAGCAGGTGGTCCTAAATTTGTAATGATGGTGCTATGGCTGTATTTTTACTGTACATGCTGGTTGACAGCTATTTAAACTGTGATTAAAATGTATTAATGATTCCCTCCGAAGAAGGGCACAGTGCTATGTCAGTTGCCTCCACTACAAAAAGCTGTATGCTAAAAAAAGTGATTAGTGTCATACTGATTCCTCTCAAAGGAGGTATAATGAAAGAGTACAGATGGTTCAAATTGCTTAGAACAGAGGCATATTATTAGCAATCAACGTTTCAAGAAGCGGAGTCTATCTGCATGAAAAAAGTTGACCAAGTAATAGAATCTGCTGTTCATTATAGTATGACTGCAAATATAATTAGAGGTCCTATGCTATATACCAGGCATGGGCAAGCTTTGGCCCTCCATGTTTTTTGGACTTCAACTTAGGAATTGTAGAAGTTGAAGTCCAAAACATTTGGAGGGCTGAAGTTTGCCCATGCCTGTTATATACAGATTTAACCTTAGTAAAGGTTTTCCCTGACATTAAGTCTAGTCGTGTCCAACTCTGGGGGGTGGTGCTCATCTCCATTTCTAAGCCGAAGAGCCAGCGTTGTCCGCAGACGCTTCCAAGGTCATGTGGCTGGCATGACTACATGAAGTGCCATTACCTTCCCACTGAAGCTGTTTTTGAACAGCTAGGTTGGCAGAAGCTGGAGCTAACAGCAGGAGCTCACCCCACTACCCAGATCCAAACTGCTGACCTTTTGGTCAGCAAGTTCAGCAGCTCAGTGGCATTCAAAAAATCAACTTTAGCTCCATTAAAAAAAAATCAAACTCTGTGTGGATTTTGATTTTTCTCTCTCCTCCCACAAACCCTGCAAAATATTGAAAAAGTCCTTCTGGACTTTCTAAACCAAGATACTGCTGCTTTATACACATATAGAAAGAGAATGAAATATGTGAGTCTGAAAATGCCTTTGAGCCTCCCTTGCACTATTCATGTAACATCTGATCATTTTTCATACACATGAGGAAGAACAGAGAGACATATGAAATACAAATGAGCATTCTGGCCAATTACCCATTGAAGCAAGACTACTTCTGGGTCTCCTGTGAGAAAACACCCAGCGACCAAATAGCAAAACTCCGTGCTTTGAATAATAAAGCGGCACACTGTCTTGAACCAGACCCCTGGTGACAAATGCAGTTTTTATTATTTAAACTTTCAAAACTGAAAGTCGGAAGCGTTGTAACACCATCATTACTTCTGAAAAGCATGGCAAAAGAGGGAACTGCTAACTGTGGGCTACAGCTAACATTGCATGCAGGTCTGCCATCTGGACTCTCTTCCTCTCACCTCCTTCTCCCTCTTGTGGAAAACCTGGACCTCCAGAACAGGCTTTAAGTATACAAGGGCGAATGTTTGCCTGGAAGTCATTTTATGAGATAAGTGAGATTTTCCAGCTGAATATATCTGAGGTTAGATAGCTTACATCAATATGGTAATACAAAGGATTTGAGAAATAATATAAATCTGAAATAAAACGAACTGTGCAATCAACTAAACAATTTTTTCAAGGAATAATGGAACTTCACACTATATGAATCTTCCTAGGATTGGATCACAACATCTGCCCAAGGGAGGTGTGTGTAGGGGGGGGGGGGAGCGGGGCTTTACATCCTTTAGACATTAACATGTTTTGCTCTTTATCCTGTCCCTTGCCCCATTCCACACCCTTTATCCCCTGGATGGTTGTTCTGGGAGTTGATAGATTAGCCAGAAACACAAGAGAGCTGGTGTTGCTAGAGGGAGAATGAATGGCTTGAAATAACACCCCTCTCTTTCCCAAGTATGCCTCTGCTGAATGCAGGTTGCTTCTGCAAATGGAAGAGGTGTTTTCATTTGAAGGAACAGAACTCCAAACCCAACTAAGACTAGAAATATACAAATTCTATATATTATATATAACTCTAGAAATTTTAGTCAATAAATCAACCCAATAACCTTCAATTGACATATTCATATGTCAATGGAATGACTGTACCTTAACTCTTTTTTAAAAAGGAGTCACTCCTCTGAGTGGAGTGCTGAAAGGTTGGATTTCTAGTCCATCCTGAGAGAGTCTAGGACCCCAGAATATTGGTGTTTTCCCCTCTCTGCAGAAGGATGTTTGATTTATTCTCTCTCCTGGCATCCTCAAAATCCATAATTTAGCTCCCCAAACTTGCCCTCAGCTTATACATGAAATTGATATGAGTATATACAGTAATGAAAAAAATCCTTCCCTAAAAGAAATAAGCAGTCATTTGTATGCTATAGTTGCCATGTGTTGCTGTTACAGTCAAACTGTTCTGTGACAGCCAAATTATATTGTCCCAAATTCAGCTGCAGTTACAAGCAATTAGTTATGCCTATCAGCTGGTGGTCCTGGAAGCAGATGTGCCTTGCCATCCAAAGATGCATCCAGCCACATCATCAGAAGAGCTCAGTTGGGTATTACTTTGTAGACAGGGGAAGAGCTACACTGATACAAAGTGTAGTAAAGATGTACGGGTGTATATAAATACTTCTCAAAGGATTAGAATTCAATTAAACACCAAGAGTGAATGGAAATCAGTCTTCCTCCCCACTCCTCTCTCTTGACATTCTCTGCATGTCCTCAAAAATGTTCTGAAGGCTTACAGGACTCTACAGGTCAAATGTAGGGAGATGGCAGAAAGTCCTATTGCATAATGCTGTTCCCTTCATGTCAGTGGTTCTCAACCTGTGGGTCCCCAGATGTTTTGGCATTCAACTCCCAGGCATCCTAACAGTTGGTAAACTGGTTGCGATTTCTGGGAGTTGTAGGCCAAAACACCTGGATACCCACAGGTTGAGTATCACTGCTTTATGTGATGTTGGTTTCAGCTCACTACTGAAAGTTCCTTAGCCTCTGAATGAACCCTTTTCTTTCTTAATTTTTTTTAATAATTTTAATAACATATCTTATTGTATGCAATATTGAGTTTGTGTACAGCAGAGTTTCTCAAATGGTGCTCCTCCAGATGTTTTGGATTTCAACTCCCACAGTTCCTAACAGCTGGTAAGCTGGCTGGGATTTCTGGGAGGTGAAGTCCAAAACACCTGGAGGATGTACAGGATTGAGTTTGCCAATGGTTGCTCTAGCAATATAACCCAAGACAGGACATTATGTTGGCAATACAATTAAGATGCATTTGCAGAAATAGTGAGAATCCGTATGAAGGGGCATATCCAGCATCCTTGAAGAAAACAATTTAGAGCCATGTTGTTGAATAAGCAACTGAGAAAACTGAGAAAATTCAAAGCAATAGCACTGAAATTGGGTGGCTGTCTATTCAGCCAAAACATAGCTGTTCAATTATTGCAAAATCCAGCAGACAAAATTCCTGAATATCTTTCTCAGAATTGAATTAGCATTGATTAATGTGCAAACTTAGGTAATAATTTATTTTTGAAACACAGAAACCTTTGGACTTGGTTGGTGTATTTCTTAATGCCCAGCCAAATCCTGCTGTTTATTATGATGTCAGATTTATGCATAACATGCTTTAACATAAAGCTTGAGGAAAAAATGCACTTCCTCGCTTTAGAGAAGTAGTGTAATGGACGAATCATTTCATGATGAGATGATAAATTTTAAATAGACTTTGATCCTGCACTCATTCTAGTCAAGGACAAGACGCATGTCTTTGATTGAACTGGTGCAGCATCTGGTCCATATAATGTTAAAGGGCTGATTATATTCTTGCATAGGTGTTTACTGTATAACAAATGCCAAAACATACTGTATTTAATACATACTGAGGCTTTTTGCTGTTGTGCACAAAAGGGCCAGCAGGGGGCAATATTGTTTTCATGGTGCGTTGCTTTGACGACTTGCTTTCTGCCATTCTGCCCCCTAGTGGAAGATTTAGAAAGTCATGATGGCTCTCCCGCAAGACCTTATTACATGAGTAAATCTCTGCTGAAGATCTTGAACAAACAGAACATGCAGACCAAGAAACAATAGAAAATGCCCATTGTCCTCTTCACACAGTCCCATTTGATTTCAACGCCTTGTTTCTTCAGTATATTATTGACCATTGGCTTTTCTTTGTGCATGTTTTATACCAAAGCTATTGTACACGTGAAGCCATCAAAAATTGTAGTGACATTGTTTTGATAATTCCAGCAGAAATTGTGATGGAAAAAACCCTCCCATGGGAGCATTTTATATATATATATATGGATATACCGAAAGTTTCCTCCTTTTTTCCATTTGCCTTTAATTCTTGTGGCTTAGATGTTTTGGAGTGACCAATTTACAAGTGTTGGCTGCTTAAAAAAAATATGGAAAAGATGTAGAATGTTCTACTGTTTCAGATTATCTTCTTGGTGAATGAACAGTTTTGTTTTGTTTTTTTAAAAAAAGAAGAATATGAAAATTTCCCTAGAAACAGAGTTTGTAAAAAAACTTTTTCAGTTTAAGTTGTCATAGTATATATAAATGTTTCCAGATTGCATTTAATGTCTTATCCGTTTCCTAACTTGTATGGTTGTGTGCTCCATGACAAAGTGCCTTACTGGCTATCAGTATGACGTTAACTAGCTTGGTTTTGAAGTTTACAAGCACCATTGAACCACAAACCTACTACTGTTTGCCATGAAAATATGTTCAGCTTACTTAAAATGTATAGGCACAAACCTGGCTCTTTGTGCTTCTATAATTTTTTCCAGCATCTGTATTTTCCTATAGGAAGCAGCAGAGAACATTCTTTAAAGCAGGAGCTGTGCAAAGTGGAGGTTGGACTACAACTCCCATCAGCCCTAGCCAGTGTTGGCTGTGGCAAAGAACACTTGGAGTTGCAGTCCAGCAACTTTTAAAGAGGCACACTTTGCTCACCTTTATGCTTTACACAGATGGGTTTGTGGCTATTGGGATTTTTTTAACAGTTACTTTTACTTCTGTCTAATTTGTGCTATAAGAAAAATCAAGCTCTGCCTCTGCTAGCTCTCCATTTGTATAGGTAGTGCAATCTGCATTGAAAGCTATATCCACACTGTAGAATTATAGCAGTTCTATATCATATTAACTGCGATGACTCAGTGCTGTGTAATTCTGGGCTTTGTAATTTTGCGAGACCCTGCTGTGTCAGAGCTCTGGTGCTACAACAAACTATAGATTGCAGGACTCCATAGGATGAAACTATGGCAGTTAAAGTGGTGTAAACCTGTTATAAACATCAAACGGCTGTTAGATGCAACAACAAGAATTGGCTATAATCTTGGAAACCCACTGCGGAGCTGCCACATTCAACTTTCAGAAAGATTGCTCCTTTCTAACCTGGCAAATGTTTGCTGAGTTTTTCCATTTCTACAGGTGACAAAAGCCATCCTGTAGTTACAGGAATGAATGTTATATTATCACCAATGCTAATTAAGCCCTGTTAGTATTCGTTCCTAAGTACAAGTGGGTTTGGAAATGCCTTTGCCTATGTCATTCACATTGTAACCACAATTAGCAATGACACTGAAGTCACCAAATGGCCAATCTATATATAAACCCCACTGGTTTACTGGGTCTACTCTAGTTGGAAGTAAGGACTCAGGCTGCAATGAGATAGGACTTGAGCATTTCATGCCTATGGGGAGAGTGTGGGAAACATTCGTATACTAGTGAAATTCTTTTTTCCAGATTAGTTTCCAGTGATATCACAATAGTAGAACCATGGAATCATAGAGTTGGAAGGCACTACAAGAGCCATCCAATCCAACCCCCTGCTATGCAGTAACAAACCACCAGAGCACGCCTGGCAGACAGCCATCCAGCCTCTGCTTTAAAACCTCCAGAGGCAGAAACCACCACACTCCAAGGCAGCACATTTCACTGTCAAAACAGCTCTTCCCAGCAGAGATTTCTTCATAATCTTCAGGTGGGATCTCTTTTCCTGCTATTTGAATCCAGCACTCCCAATTTTGTTGTGGTGTGAGTGCATGTGAAGTTTGCTTTCAGAGCTTCAACCTTACACCTCAGTTGTAAGTCATAGCTGATTTCAGTGGTGCTTATTGCCAAGTAAACATGATTAGAGTAAGAGAATTAAGATGAGGATTTATTAAGATTGGATCAGTGTTTCTTGCTAGACACAGGGACTAGGGTTTAAGTTTCAAAGCCACCTTCTACCTTCATATGCTGGTTAACTGACCATAGGGGACTGTGTGCCATTCTGTTGTGTTAAATCTTATGTGTCTAAGGCCTTGCTACTTAAATTAGGAAACATGGGAACAAGGAGATACATATGACACAAGTGTAAAGTATTTATTGCTTTGTTATCCCTTGTGAAATGGATGCTTCATTTTTATGACTCTTCTTAAGAGAAGATTTTGTTTTATAAAAGGATGTTTAATTTTTCTAACTTTTGATACTGATTCTTGGTTTCCTTGTGAAATATTGGTAATTTGCACTTCACGGTAATAAAACTAAGAACCTTGTGGCTTCTTCAGTTTTTGAGATGTGTAACTAATGGTACTAATATTGATCATGAATGCGATCTATTTGTTTGCTTGTTTTTGAGAAAAGGTCCATCAGCATTTCAAAGATATATTCATAAATTGCATGGTGGCAAAAAAAAGAAAATAAATTCTGGTCAGTCTCCCCTATGATCACATTTTACTTTACCAGTGATTTTAGACTGTGTGGTTTGGTCGGGAGAGAGAAGTGCCCAAACCAAAATAATGTGAGCACACATCCGTCTGAGCTCTAAAACCATTTATTTGCTTCTGCTGTGCAGAAATATTAGAACATATTGTTGAAAATATCTTTTTAGAACTAAAATGTTTAATATTTAACACAATTTGTTGTTACTTATTGTTTTACAACTCTTGGGGTTTGTTCTAATAAAAAAGTTTAGATACAAAAGGATGTCTCTCTGTCTTTCTTTTAGTTGTTTTTATGTGGGGCCTGTATTCTCAAAAGAGACTTCATGTTGCATTGCTTGATCAATCTTCTCACCTCACTAAAGCATACCATCTATTGGACTGATTACTCAAAGGTCCCCACTCAAAAAAATCAAACTGTAAATGGCAAATGTTATCATATTTACTCAAGTCTAATTTTGGCTAAGTTATATTGCCAAAATTGATGTGTACATTAGATTCGATGATGCATGAAAATCGCATACACAAACTCACCTGCATTAAAAGACCTGGAGGAACCTGAAATCCCAGATTATTAACCATTATACTTGAGTAAATACACACACACCTCTCAGCCAATGTGGCTCATGGCCATGCTGGTTGAAAGATTCTGAGAGCAGAAGTTCTTCTAAGGATCATAAGAACCATCCTTTCATTAAAGTACTATAGCCTTAGTTATCCTGTGGCTCTTGGGCAGTGGTTCTCAACCTGTGGGTCCCCAGATGTTTTGGCCTTCAACTCCCAGAAATCCTAACAGCTGTTAAACTGGCTGGGATTTCTGGGAGTTGTAGGCCAAAATACCTGGGGACCCACAGGCTGAGAACCACTGCTTTAGGGCAACAAAAGGTGTTCAGGATGAAATGTATTCGAAAAGCTTCTTGCAAGTGGGGAACTTTGATCTCTGCCTGAACATTCTGTCCCCCTCCAGCATTTCACCCAATAAATAGGGAGAATATGGGCAGGCAGACCTTTTGGTTCTAGTGATATCTACCACCATCTTGAACTCTGCTACTGGCTACCAACAGTTTAGTTCTCCCAAGGGAATGCAACCTGTGGAAGAAAAGTAATATGAAATTTTGCCCACACGTGGTATTTACATCTACATTGTTAGAACCTTTGGAGCAGGCATTTCTTGCTATGTGGAATCAAGAAAATATTTTTGGAAAGTTTTGAAATTATGACAAGTCCTCAAGGGATTAAGTGGAAACCAGCCATTCCAACACACAAATTATTTCATCTAGAATTCAAACTCTGGTCATTCAAGGGGTTTAAAGATGATGTGACCTGCAAACAGTCCAATGTAATTGATGTGAAATTACGCAGCACAAGAAGCATGGTGGACACAAACAGTGGCAGCAAGCTCTTTCAACACCAGCTCTTTCAAGGAAGTCTGATTTTTTAGACATAATGTAAACTTGTGCTGTCAAAAGGCGTTCATGGCTGGAATCATTGGGTTGCTGTGAGTTTTCCAGGCTGTATGACCATGTTCCAGAAGCATTCTCTCCAGACATTTTACCTGCATCTATGGCAGGCATCCTCAGAGGTTGTGAGGTCTCTGAGGATGCCTGCCATAGATGCAGGTGAAACGTCAGGAGAGAATGTTTCTAGAACATGGTATACAACCTCGAAATCCTACAACAACCCAAAATCAGGAAACTAGTTTCCAACAGACCTCACACCTCTGGCCAACATACGTTTTGGTGCCTCAAATGTTAGACCTGTTTCTGGGAATATTTGACCTGATTCCAACAATGGCACCAGTTTCTCCCTGTATGCTCTAGTTTTTGAGATATAGAACATAGGGCATTTATGTACCAGTCTTCATCTCCTAACCCATAAAAATAATGATAGCCATATCTAAGAAACTAGAGCTTATACAGTCTATCCAATGTAATTTTCTGAATCAATGCCCCAAATAATCCCCAGAACCAGCCTGAAAACCAAGAAATCTTTTGTTGTTGCTGGGCTATGTTTAATTTGCTTCCAGGCATTTGGTGGGCATGCTGTTTTACCAATCACTCTGTTGGTATGAGATTGCACAAAAAGGAGTCAATGCTGCAGTAATAGGGAAATCACATAGAACTTACTCCGTGGAACTCCATAATCACATAGAACTTACATGTAGAATCACCCCACTGCAACACTGTCCAACTAGTCTCCCCTCATCACAAGCCTAACATAAGAATGAATTCTGAACAGTTAGTAGAATATTTACTGGCAGTAAAAGTTGGTGTAAACTTAGCTAGCTCTTTCATTGTTAGCCACTACCCCTGGGCTCAGAAGCTGACAGTCCCTACTCATCAGAACACCTGCTTAGGACAACTGAATTTAATTCAATATTATTCCCATTCTGTAAACAATGCACAGCTTCTTCCTTATTTCATCTGAAAATAGGCTAAGAATAACAGAAAAAAGAATAGGTGGATAATGGAACTAGGATAGATGTTAATGGAAAATTGTAACATCACCTTTATTTGAAAGCACATCTTTAAAGAAATAAACATCTAAAACTATACCATAGAGACATAGATTATTTTAAATCATGTTTCAAGGGCAACAGCAGATGCTTTTGAGATTCTTTCTAGAGGTATTCCTACAGTATAAACTTTGAAAATAGGCCATACAAAAAGTGCATTGCTGTCTGTTTGAAACTCAACGGGATGTTCAGAGACCATCTGCTTATTCTGAAAAACACCTGGAATACATCTAAGCATAACAATAACTATTAATAATAATAGAACAAGATACTATATATAGTCACCCACAATGTAATCCATCAAATTTAAATTCAAATAATGTACCATCTGAGGCTAAAGCAAAGAATGCATTTATAATCTGAATGTTCAGATAAAGGGTTGTTGAGAGTCCATGGCCTTTAATGTTCGCCCCATATGTACAGAGTTGTTTTTAATTAAATCTGGATTTCTTCAAGTACTCCAGCCTTTGCTTACATCATGTGGAGCCTCCCAGAATGGTCTGCAGTTATTGATTATTGTGTCGCTGCTCATTTGCAAGACATAACTTATTGCAAACCTGCTTTCTTTCTCCTCTTTAAGGCATGCTCATAAACAGTCTTCCTATGATTGATGTGTTTTATGTATCACATAGTTTTCTTTACTTTCATATTACATTTAAATCTACTATTGGCTGCAGGCCATAGATATCTTAATCCACTTCCAGATGAATTTTAAAACTAGGATCCATGCTTGGCCTCTCTCGCTTTCACTCTTTTATACTCTCTGCATCTGGTGTCACATTCTTGAAGCAATGACCTCTCTTGTTTAAACACAGGTCATGCTAACATTCCTGCATCCCCTAAATGAAATAGAAGGGAGGTTGCCTTCATTTGAAGATGGAGGCATCTTTTGATTGGTTGTGGTGCCCAGTTTAAAATTTGTGTTGTGGGTGAGGGAAAGATATGTCATAATTCTGCTTGTGTTGAACTTTGAAAGATTGTACTTCTCCTTCCCAGTCCACTCATTTTGAATATTTGAAGGATATGAACAACTTTAAGAAAGTAACCAACTACTTCATGCTCTTCCACATGACCTCCCTTAGAGATACCATTTATTTATTTATTTATTTATTTATTTATTTATTTATTTATTTATTATTTACGATATTTCTATCCCACCTTTGTCAAACCTGAAGGTGACTCAAGGCAGCTTACAACCAGCAGCCATTTGATGCCTTAACAACATACACTTAAAAACATTTTAAACAAAATTATAACCATGATAATAGCTTTAAAATCATATTAAAAACAATACCTCCACTGTTAATCTCATCCAAATACATTGTCTGAGCAGTTCCAAAATTCAGTATTAAATAGTTCCTAGTTTGTCTATTGCACTGTTTCCACAGGCTTGTTTGAAAAGCCATGTCTTCACTTTTCTACAAAAAGTCAGGAGGGAGGGGGCTGACCTAATATCCTTAGGGAGGGAATTCCACAGCTGAGAGGCCACTGCTGAAAAGGCCCTGTCTCTCATCCCTGCCAGTTGCACCTGTGAAGAAGGCGGGACCGAGAGCAGGGCATCCCCAGACAATCATAAGCTTCTAGATGATTCATAGGGAGAAATACATTCAGACAGGTAAGCTGGGCCAGAACTATTTCGGGTTAAAGCCAGCACTTTGAAATGCTCGGTAGCAAGCTGGCAGCCAGTGGAGCTGACATAACAGAGGAGTTGTAAGCTCCCTGAATGCCACTCCAGTGAGCAACCTAGCTGCTGCTCGTTGGACCATTTGAAGCTTCCAAAAAGTCTTCAAAGGCAAACCCACGTGGAGCGCGTTGCAGTAGTCTATACGGGGATGTAACCAGAGCGACCATGGCCGAGTCTGACTTCCCAAGATTTGGGCGCAGCTTCCGCACAAGTTTTAACTGTGTAAATGCTCTCTTGGTCACCGCCGAAACCTGGGGTTCCAGGCTCAGCGATGAATCCAGGAGAACTCCCAAGCTGCGAACCTGCGCCTTCAGGGGGAGTATAACCCCATCAAGCACAGGCTGTAACCCTATGCCCTGTTTGGCCTTGTGACTGACCAGGAGTACCTCTGTCTTGCCTGGATTCAATTTCTGGGGATATTCACTCACATTCTTAAGAACTGGTGATAGTGGACCTCGATTTTGATCCTGTCATTTGACATCTTATTTATCCCTCCTGATAAATCCCCCCAATTAGGAGGGTCGCTAATAATCCAGTGACAGGACCAGGATTCAAATGACCTTAACAAAATGAAATGTACAGATATAGGATGTGTGACATCTGGCTTGACAGCAATATGTTAAGTTGTGAAAAAGATCTAAGAATCTTAGTAAACTACAAACTGAACCTGATCTAGCAGTGTGATCTGGAAGCTTAAAAAGCCAGTACAATTATAGTCAGCATTGTACTGACTATAATTGTATTTAGATGGAGGGAAGTAACAGTACCCCTCTAATCCAATTTGGTCAAATCTCAACTAGAATAACACTGTGTTCTGAACATCGCAGTTCAAGAAGAATATTTGGGACAACTGGAAAGTGCCCAAAGAAGGACAACCAAAATGGTCAAAAGATCTGGAAGCCAAGCTGCATGAGGAGCATCTTAGGGAGCTGGGTATGTTTAGCTTAGAGGAGAGATGACATGATAGCTATGTTTAAACATGTGAAAGGTGTCATATTGAGGAGGGGGCTAACTTGTTTTCTGCTTCTCTAGAGACTAGGATACAGTGTAATATATTCACAGA